TGGGGCATTTTCTTGGACTTTACTGCTATGGGCCTTAGTAGATCATCATTTGGGCTTTAATGGACTATGTCTTATTTTGGGCCTAGTGTTAGGCCCATTAGAGGGGTTGGGACCAATTTAGAAAATTGGGCCATTGATGGGTCGTTAGCGGGCTTGGGAAGTCTACCTAGTATTGGGCCTTTCATGTTATGGTTTTGGGCCTTAGGCATGGACCAAATTAGATCAGGGGTAAAATGGTCATTTTACCCTAAGAAGGATTATTGGTTTTTGACTAAGTGTTATTTTGGTAATGATAGCTCAGGGAGTCGTCGGGGCAGCCGTTAAAGATTCCTTACTGTGAGATTTTGCATTCAGCTTTGCGAGGTGAGTTTTCCTCCTGTATGAACGGGTCGAAGGCACTAATGTCGGCTCGTATATGTATGTTAGTATGTACTGGACTAGGGTCTGATGTCGGGCAGTGCCCGATGTAGGTTTATATGTTTCCGGATTTCGACCCGATGTCGGGCGGTGCCCAAGGAATGTTTGTATGCTTGATGTCTTCGTGATTCTTGCATGTGCTTGTATTGTATATTTCCGGATTACAGTCTGATGTCGGGCAATGTCCGAGGAATGTTTGTATGCTTCCGGATTTCGTTCTGATGTCGGGCGGGGCCCGAGGAATTTTTATATGTTTATGTTTATGTGATTATTTTATGTGTATTTGTTGATATGTTTATATGTATACCGAGCTTTGTTCGATGTCGGGCGGGGCCCGATGCCGGAGTTCGGTCCGATGTCGGGCGGGGCCCGATGTCGGACATTGTCCGATGTCGGGTGGGGCCCACGATATGTTTATATGTGATTATGTTCTTATGTGTATGGTATGTGGTAGTTTGGGGAGACTCGCTAAGCTTCGTGCTTACAGTTTTCAGTTTTGGTTTCAGGTACTTCTGGTAGCAAAGGGAAGAGCTCCGGATGACTGCAGTGCACACACCATGATATTTAGCCTGGGATGTTTTACTCTGATATATTGACATGTGTTTTTGAAATGATGTTTTGAGATACTGTGACTAATATTTTGGATGAGATGATTTTGATAACTATGGTTTATTTATGATTTAAAAACAAAAATTTTGGTCATGATTTTTGGGATGTTTCACTTTTAGTCCCTTAATAACAAAACAACATATAACATGAACTAACTACTCAAACACCATAGCATAATAAAATGACCAAAATGCCCTTTTACCAGAAAATAACAACATAAAATAAAATAAAAGTATATCCAGCTACATATACAATATAATATAAACACTGATATTAATATAAACACTAAGATTGAAAGTCATTAATATATATACTTAATAAACTATTATTGTCCATTATCAACCATGTATATATTTAAGAAAACTACAAAACCTACCGTACTCCACATACCAACGGCAAACCATGGTATACCTTTGTGGATCCTCATCTTCTTCATGTCCTACCGCAAATGCCCCTTTAACAGAATGAAGTGTCTCTTCACATTGGAATGTGATGTTATTCGTTGTAAGTATATGAACAACATCAAAAGTCTTCAACAAATCTCTGGCACTATCAACAACACCTATGTACTCCCCATGATCTGGAACTGCCCAGCCAAAATACGCATCAAGTAGTTGTAAACCTACACATTAAAAAAACTATCAATTAATCCAATGTAGCCGTTTCAACATAACAGTAAATATTATACAACACAACACTAAAAATTAACCCCAAACTATAAACATGTATTAATTAAATATATACAAAATTTAATGTACATATATACCATACATACCTTGATCACACTTAGGAGGCCCTCTTGAAATGTGGATCATTCCAAACAAATAAATTGTCTCAAAATGATCTTCATATGCTGCTTGTCTCATCAAATTCATTCCGACATCAAAATTGCCATTACATAAGCACTCTTCATGTTAACAGAATAACAATATCATTAACATCAATGACACTAAAATTTAATAAATGAAATCAAATTACATGAAATTACTGAAATTACACATACCGCTCCTTGTCTAAACATGGCTTCAATGTTATTATGCATTGCACATGTGCATATAAATAAATCAGCATTAAGATGTTTCGGAACCACCCCTTCAATCATGTGCAGGGATGTTGTTCTGAACACTGGAGGATCACCCCCCGCTGCATACATCTTTTTTGAACTTCAAAAATTGAAATATACAGTAAATAACTAATAAATCAAGTTATATTTCTTCAAATAAACATTCATTAGTTGATGTTTAGTGATAATTACCAAATTCTTGTAGAGATGATGTCTTTTACAGATTCTAACCCTAACATTACGATAATCCGACTCAAAATCTCTATTGGAAGATCATCCAACGAACTACAAGCTCTTGTATTCGACATTCTACTTACAAAATACACATTACATTAGTTGATTTCAATTTTTTTTTAAATTAGGCGTAATTGTGAAAAACGGTGTAACAAGGTAAGGAAAAAAAACCTTACTTTATGATGCTCTGGTCGTCGACTAAGTACCGACGTCAATATTATCAGGGAAAATTGATTTTTAGAGCGATTACCTATCGTCGATTTGGGGGTTTATATGTTCGTCTGTAGTTTTACTATCGGGAAGATTTGATACATTCTGAATGGTTGAAGCACTGAAACGACTGCATGACATCAGAACCATCATGGCGACTAAACGATGTGCAGTGCAAGAAGACCAAAGTTCCCTTGAAATCATTCCAAATATGTGATTAAGGGTAGTTGTGTCAAAACAAATTATTCAAACATTATAACCTTTTATGGGTCAAAGTGGAACTTTGACAATTTAAATGAAAAAGACGAAGTTAAATAAAAAGATTGAAGGAGGTAGGATTCGAACCTACGACTTCGGGAAAGATGAAAGACGCGTCATCCAGGTGAACTAAAGTAACTTATGTTTCTTAAAATTGAATAACTTTAATATTATGTTCATTAATGTGGCACCCCATGACCCATATGGCATCCATGGGTGTTACCATGACACTATAACTTGATCCATGACCCATATGTCATCCATGGGTATTACCATGACACTATAAGCATCCCATGACCCATATGTCATCCATGGGTGTTACCATCACACCCATGACCCATATGTCATCCATGGGTGTTACCATGACACTATAAGCAACTACCACATACCAATGACCCATATGTCATCCATGGGTATTATCATGACACTATAAGCAACTACCATATTGACCAATGACCCATATGTCATCCATAAGTATTACCATGACACTATAAGCAACTACCACATTGACCCATGACCCATATAAGCATCCCATGACCCATATGTCATCCATGGGTGCTACCATGATACTATAAGCAACTACCACATGACCCATGACTCATATGTCATCCATGGGTGTTACCATGACACTATAAGCAACTATAACTTGATCCATGACCCATATGTCATCCATGGGTATTACCATGACACTATAAGCAGCCCATGACCCATATGTCATCCATAGGTGTTACCATCACACCCATGACCCATATGTCATCTATGGGTGTTACCATGACACTATAAGAAACTACCACATGACCCATGACCCATATGTCATCCATGGGTATTACCATGAAACTATAAGCAACTACCATATTGACCAATGACCCATATGTTATCCATGAGTATTACCATGACACTATAAGCAACTACCATATTGACCCATGACCCATATAAGTATCATATGACCCATATGTCATCCATGGGTGTTACCATCACACTATAACCAACTACCACATGTCATCCATGGGTATTACCACATGACCCATATGTCATCCATGGGTCTTCTTTACTCCACCCTCTTCAAGCTCCAAATTCCTTCACAACCACTCATGGATGACATATGGACCTATGACCCAAATGTTACCCATGGGTATTACCATCACACCCATGACACATATGTTCGATTAGGTTTCTAAGACCATAACTATAATTGGTATATACTTGAATTGATAGTAGCACAGTCCTTTTGTGTTGTCTTCAAACCTGGCAATTGAATAAGATAACTTTTAGAGAGAGAAGAATGATTTATTAATTTATTACTTGGTTAATAAGTTAATTAGAAATCAAAATAAATTATTTGCTAATGTATTATGGAAATAATATATTAATTAGAAATCATATTGTTTAATTAATATTTAATCAGAAACTAATTTGGAATTAATTTTGGGATTAAAGGAATTAATTAAAACTGCAGGGACTAAAGGTGTCAATGTTCAATAGTTGAGCATTGGGCAATTCTAGAACCTTCCTATAATAGGGGGAACGAATTCTAGATGCTCTCATGGTTTCCTTGGGCTCTAAGGGTGCCTTGGATGCCTTAGGGAGGAAGTTAAGGGATTAGGGTTATCTTGGATACACATGCCAGCAAAAGTTGTTTTAATTACATTTTTTAATAACTACAAGGCGTAGGTGGTTGGTTCTTTTCAAGCAAAATGTTGCTAACAATTTTCAATCACGCATGATGATGAATCCGTCAACCCGACCCGTCCTGAATCCAGTAGTTAGACTCGTTTATTTTATCATCGCGTGTACCAAATACCAAACATTCGAAAAGTCAATTAATTTCCTATTGGTTTTTCCTAAACTAAAACTATATGTCACCTCCCCTAGGCCCTAGCTACTGCCAACACAATCTCCTGTTCCTTAAAAACAAGTCATGCTAGGTAGTAAGCTAGTAGAAGCAGTTGACAAAAGGGAAATATGTATGATCATATTTTTGGTAGAAGTTTTAGCAAGAATGAGCAGAAAAGATTAGGGAATTGTGCATTTGTTGTATGCATTTTTGTTGCATTCACTCTTTGTACTCTTTTTAGGCCCAGCTTCCATCTATCGATTTGTAAGTTCTTGTTCCAAAATATTATGCTGAAATTAAACAAGCATATATTTCAATCGTTAGCTTCTTCAATTTGCAGTGAACTTGGAGGTGTCGACACATAGCAATCTAGACATGGTCATTCTCAGTGCATCCCAAGTCCAACAGCAAGATGGAAAGATGATTATTGAGCCGTTGGGTGCATCACACGTCAATCAGACTAAAACCACCGAGCCATTAGTTAAAACAACACCAAGTAGAAACCATAGTTTCGATGATTCTCGTGAATTGCACAACACCATTGGTATATTGCTTTTCTTTACTAAGAAATCTACATGCGTGTTTGGCATTACTAGTCGGAATCTGTAGCTTGTATTTGTGCAAAATTGTTGGGCAAAAGTAGTTGTTAGCTTTTAAAGGTGTAAAATTACGTAAAAACCAAAAGTTTAAAGCTCCCAAAGCTCTACAAAAAATAATCCGGGAATAACTCACTAAACCATCCTAGTTTGTCTCAATTTATTTTTTATTGGCAGATTGCAATTTTTCGGAAGCATTTTCAGATTACTGCAAGATGAAAGGGATCATAAGAATTCATGGGCGTAGCTCAACCATTTTTACTAGCAATTCATTAGCAGCTGGAAATAAGTCATGGTTGATAAGACCCTACCCTAGAAAAGGAACGGATGCAATGAAATCCGTTCGGGAATGGACCATAAAACCAAGTCACGGGCCTGAGTGCAACAAAACTCACACCGATCCAACCATCCTTTTCTCCATGGCTGGTTTTTCTGGGAACCATTTCCATGCTTTTTCTGATATCATAATTCCACTGTTCACAAATTCACGGATTTTTAATCGAAAAGTCCATCTCCTTGCGACGAATTACAAAGGTTGGTGGATAACAAAATTCCAAGTATTACTCAACCAACTTTCGTATCATCAAGTTGTCGATATTGACAATGATGATCAAGTCCATTGCTTCCAAGACGTTGTCATTGGACTCAGATCACATAAAGAGCTAGGCATAGACACATCAAGGTCTCTCAACGGGTACTCCATTAAAGACTTCCGTGACTTCTTGAGGTCTGCTTACTCTTTGGAAAGACAAGTAGCCATAAAGCTAAACTCCAATGATCATATTCATAATAGAAGGCCTCGTTTGATGATAATATCAAGAAAAGCTACCAGAAGACTAACAAACGAAGCATGTATTGTGAAAATGGCTCAAAAGCTAGGTTACCAAGTAGTGTTGGCCAATGTAACTCTTACTACTAATCTTTCAAGCTTTGCTCCAATTGTGAACTCTTGTGATGTTTTGTTGGGAGTTCATGGAGCAGGACTAACAAACATGGTGTTCCTGCCTGACAATGCGGTGGTGGTGCAAGTGGTGCCACTTGGTGGGATCGAGGGGTTTGTGAAAACGGACTTTGGGGACCCAAGCTGAGGTATCTAAAGTATAGTATAGGAGTGAAAGAGAGCTCCTTGGCAAGACGATACGCGGCTGATGATGTCGTTTTAAGAGATCCAATGGTGATACACAGTCAAGGGTGGGATGCAATTAGGACTACTTATCTGGTTCAACAGAATGTAAAGCTTGATGTTCGAATGTTTAGATCCACTTTGCTAAAAGCTTTGGAGCTTTTACACAACTAACACCATGCATCTTCTTATTTGGTTTTATAAATTAAGATATGAATTTTCGAATTCCCAATATCATACTAAGAATTAAGAACAAATAAAACGATAGTTTTCTTTACATAAATTTGTTAACTAACTGTAATGATACACACTATTTTTCCCTCCAAAAGGAATAAATGAATAAATAAAAATGGAAGCAAATTTGTCGGTCACAACACTTAGAAGTATCATTGATTTTAGGGTAAACTGCACTTTTCGTCCTTGTTTTGTTAATTTTTACAGATATGGTCCCGGAAGATAAATTTTAGCCTTTTTGGGAACAGCTCAGGCTTTAAATTCGTACAAATGACCATTTTGCACGCCTTCATCTTGGATACAATTCCAAACCCTAAAATTAAACAAAACAAAAAGAGCATGACGAAGATACAGCAGTAAAAAACAACAAAGCACAGCACAGCACAGTGACGAAATGTGTAAATTTAGTACTTACTTACCTTGGTTGGTAAAGGTTTTGCGATGGGGATGGGGCTCAGCGCCTCTTTTTGTTTGTTTGTAATAAGGAAGAAATATGGTCGATAGCCTTTTTTGATGAATGGGTCTCACCGGTTAACCAGTGGAGAGCCTCAGAGGCAGCGCTTTTTTCAGCAAGTTTTTTACTCCCACATGGCTGCCCGACAAAATCCAACCCATTGAAAACCACAGTGGACCGGAACTTATTGTTTTTCAACTGTGATGTCTTGTAGCTTGGTGGTTGATGACCCGCTCTTAAAAGCATTGTTTGTAAGTGATTCTTGGAGTTATCATGCTCTGCCACACTCCCACTTGTTGAAGATATGGATGCGGCTTTTTTATTTTTTGTTTCTTTCTTTAAAACAACTGGTGATACTTTTCGACCGTGGACAAATCTACCCTCACATCTGTCCCCGGATACTAGCAGTTTTAGAGCCTCCACTAGTCCCTTTTCGTTTTTGTTGCCAATGTCTATTTTCGGATTCAAAAGCTGCAATTCGTATGTCTTATTAATTTAGCATTAAGATTCAAGAATGAAGGAATTAAGATTCAAGAATGAAGGAAATGTTTTCATGTCTGGTTAGATGGTTTGTTTACCTTCATCTGGATGAGTTCATCAAGCTCTCTTTTTAAGGTCAGATAAGTGGCTGCTAACCCAGGCTTCATGAAGAACTCCAAGTAACCCCCCAACATTTTCAAGTGTCCATCCTATCCAAATAAATAAATAAAAAAATAAAAACATGCCTAAAAACTCCATTAATGAAAAAAACAAAGGAAAAGGAACATACCATGGCCCCTTTGGAAACGGTGCCTCCAAATAAGAGAACCACAGAATCGGATACAGCTGTTGAATCCCTTAGAAAGACAGTATTCACTTTCACCTTTTCATTGAATACAAGCCATGGATATGGAATTCTTGGTTCCTGAGCATTAACTGAATTCTACGTTCGAGAATTTACACATTAATTAATTAATTTGAAGTCGGGAAGTTTTTAAACAGTGAGATGAACTTAACTTACTAAATAAAGCAATACAGGACCATCTTCCATTGTTTTCAATGATACTGATTTCTCTTTATTCTGCCAAAATAATAATAAACATCATTATCATCATATACATAGAGGCATTAATTAGTTTGAGACTTGACTGTCACTGACCACAACAGAGCAAATTCCAGGGAAGAGGCCCGAGCATATGATGGCTCGGATGAGATGTTGATCATGGCTCCATGTGTTGCATTTCTCCATATTTTCAACCAAACCACAGTCTCTAAGCAGATGATAAAACTGCTTCCTAAGAGAATCAATAGCTCTCAAAGTTTGTGAGGAAAGGAAATTTCTCCAACAATACTCTGCACCCGATTGCTGTCTTTCAGCAGCTTTCCAACCATCATAAGCACGAAGAAGAGCAAGGTGGTCGCTGTTATCACCTCCAGAAAACTGAGCTTTTGCAGACTCAGCTAACTAAAAGTTCAATCAAAATCAAATTTATATATTTAAAATTTAAATTTTAATTAATAATCAAATCTTGACAGTTGGTTTGCTACTTACATCCTTCTTCTCAAACGGCATCAAAAATGGATCTCTCACACTTAAACCAGCAACAACAGTCATTATTGGATCCAGGCAGTTGAAGATAGCCCCTAATATTAACATCTTCCCAAGCTTTGGCTCAACTGGAAGCACTGACAACTTACGTCCTGCCACAAACCCAAACCAATGTTCCAAATTATGAAATCAATTGAATCCAATTCCAAGGTGTTCTGTTCTGTTCTGTTCATTACCTAATACTGTAAGATTCTCCTTGTCATCCAGAGCTCCAATTATTTTCAAGTATTCAATAGCATTTTGAACCTGTAATATGATCACAAAATATATTTAGCAATTTAATGTGAAAGGTCCAAAGTTAATGAATGTTGAAACTTACTGATAAAGGTTCGGGTGGCTGCAAGGCCTTTGATAAAAAGTCTGAAATACTACCAAGTTGCAAGCTTTTAATTTGGAGGCATAAAGACTGTAAGGGTGTCCTCAAAAGTTCTGGAAGTTGATATTCAGCAAAAGCATCATATACAGATCTGGGATACAAGTGGTAGCATTCCCCTGGTTGCACACGTCCAGCTCTTCCTCTCCTCTATTACCATAATAACATAACAGATGATGAGATGAATACATAACAAATTTAAAAAAAATGGAGCAAGTTGATCTTTACTTGGCGAGCAGAAGCCTTTGAGATCCAGGCTGGAAGCAAACACGGGGTGTTGTTGAGTGCGTCGTAGGAAGTCTCTTTAGCTTTTCCACAGTCAACCACGTAAACTACATCATTGATGGTGATGCTTGTCTCGGCCATGTTAGTGGCTAGAACTATTTTCCTGATGCCATCTTCAGGTTTATTGAATATCAATTTCTGTTAATGAAAACATTAAAAAAAAAAAAAAACATCACCACCTGAGGGCTGAGGCTGAGTTCCTTAAAGGTGATAATAAGGAAAGGCATTACCTGTTCTGAGCTGTCCATCGAACCATGGCATGCAAGCAGCAAAACTTTGGTTGGATCTCCAAGTAACGGATGAGATTGGAGTTGATCCTTGAGAGAATTTATATCATCCCAACCAGTCATAAACACCAAAATAGCACCTGGCCTTTCTTTTTTACATATATGACAAACAACATTCTCAATAAGATTGAACCCAATTGAATCCGGGTTCCAACATGACAGGGAATCCCTAGTCCACGGGTTTAACTCTCTCAAATCAGCAGCTCCAAGAGCATCCTGTTCCAATTTCCAAACCACATTTTTTTTTTTTTTTTTTTAAAAAAAAACAAACAAACAAGTGAATACTCCTATACTACCTCCGCAGCTGAAGCAATTTGGGTCTTCCTTTTACGAAGAGTTTGTTTCTGCATTTTCCATGATTTCTCTTGGCCATAATTATCAATTTGATTATATGTTGACAGCCTATATCCAGTCATTTCTAAAATATTCTCCAGAAAATAGCTCCGAACTGGATAAGTGAAACCCTGCCAACAAGAAATTACCAATAAAGGCATAGTAATAGTATTATTATTAAACGCCTTCATTTTTTGTTAACATGAGAAACTTACAGGAATATGCATCATTGGAGCTCCACCAAAGTAGGAGGAGAAAAGCTCAGCATTTAGGGTTGCACTCATCAAAATTAACTTCAGTTCTGGTCTGCGAGGAAGAAGCTCCTTCAACACGATAAGAAGAAAATCTGCCATGAAATGAAAATTAATAAATATACTTAACAAAAAAATAATAATAAATAAATAAATAAATTACCCACCCTCATTCATCCCTCGTTCGTGGATCTCATCAACAATGACATGAGTTACGCCTTGCAAGCTCCTGTCGAGTAGTAATCTCCTAAGCAAAATGCCAGTAGTGCAAAACAGCAGGCGAGTATCTCTTCCTTTTATTCCCTCAAGCCGAACTTTATACCCAACCTTCAAAAAGAAAAAAGAAAAAAATGTTATTATAAATATTGAGACGTAGAAACTTTATAAAAGTGTGAGAGAGAAAAGTTATTCACAGAATCTCCAAGCTTCTCCCCTCGTTCTGCAGCAACCCTCTCAGCAACTGACATAGCAGATATTCGTCTGGGTTGGGTGCAGATAATACTGCAAACTGCTCCACGAGCAGCTTCAATTTCAGACTCTAAGATGTATTGAGGTAGTTGTGTGGTTTTACCACACCCCGTTTCACCAGACACCACAATTACCTGCCAAAACAATTTCAATTTCACTACTTTCTATTGCTCAGGCTTCTTTAATATTTTGAAAATTTTGGTATTACTAACCAAAAAATTTTAAACATAAACCAAAAACTCCTATTGCTAACTAAAATTTGCATGGGTCTATTTTAGGGTTTTAATCTGAATCTTTGGTTGAATTTGGTCAAAATTCACAGGCAGAATGAAGAATATAACTAAGCCAGGTTTAACTGAAGAAGATGAAGAGGATGGATATGAAGACAATAAAATAGTTATTTTACTTTGATCTTGACACCCGTTTTTTAACATTGTTACTGCACACGATCCGATGATCTCAAACTCTTCCTTTAGGAAGGGGATTACCTTTCAGTGAGAAGGGAGAACTACATTACATCTTCATGCCAAACCAAGACCTTACAACACGCAGACATTGCAAGATGTTCCCAGGAGACGCCTCATCACAACACATATTGTTACTCATGAGAAGAACACAAGTAGGCAAGGATGTTGTGGAAAAACTTGCTTTTAGGGAGGAGGGAGTCATTCCCTCCCAACCCACTGCCACATCACTTTTTCTCTTTTATTTTTCTTCATCTTTCCCAACCCACAACACACGGAAACCCTATCTTTTTGAACCCACTCAACCCATTCAGTTAAAAAAAAAATACAAAACAATCAAGGTAAAATCTTAATTAGCAATAGAGTTACCACCGGTACCACTCCCACTTCAACGGGTTGTTTAATTGGTTTCACTAACCCACTTCATCATCTCTCTCTACTTTCTCTCTCATTTTCTCTTGTACCATATGTTTTAAAACTTGTACCTTAGTTGTTTTGTATTTTTTTTAAATTGAGTGGGTTGAGTGGGTTGAGAAAGATGGGATTTCCGTGTGTTGTGGGTTGGGAAAGATAAAGAAAAATAAAAGAGAAAAAGTGATGTGGCAGTGGGTTCAGTGGGTTGGGAGGGAATGACTCCCTCCTCCCTTAGGGGGAAGGACGGTTGTATTAGAAACACATATTGTTAGTCAACCAACCCTTTCATTGGGCTTAAGTGAGATCAATTCTAATCAGGTCTTTGTCTTTCCATAGAATATTAGGAGTGTGAATTAAGAATTTCATAATCAACTATGCCATTTGTTTTTTTTTAAAGTATTTCGTGAACTTTTCTATATATAATTTACAACCAAAATCCAAACCTAACGCATAACCAAACAACAATTTTCAAGTAATTATACCCATTCTTATTCCAACGGTCCAACCTACTATCAAACTAATACCAATAGTGATTGCAGACTGCAAAGTGCAAACCAAATGCTACCTTAGTTCTTGGAATCATTAACAGTGAAATTGTTTTGGAATTCTGTCATATTATATATAATATAATATACTCTCTCAGTTTGTTTATGCTATGGAGAGAATTACATTAGTCTTCCCTATAAATCCGCTAGTGTTTTGATAGAATTACTCAACAGTTAGGTTGCATATGTCCAGCAATATCAAGTCAAGCAGTTAACACTAACATTTTCCCTGACCAAAGCTACACTGTATTGTAATAACTAGGATGTCAATATTAAATTAAACACTTGCTATTATCCCAAAATTCCCTATATTTATACCACAATACTGAAAATAAACAGACTGTGCCAGTAGTTCAATTTTTATACCACAAATTTGAAATTCAAAACTAAATATCGCAAAAAATTGAAAGTTGAAACATGAATCCAAAACAAACCTGATTTCTGGAAATAGCATTTAACAATGCTTCTTTCTCTTTATATGCAGGTAGGCTTCTCCGTAGTTCTTGCATTTTTTGGCCTTCAACAGATTCCTACAGAACAAATTGATTTCTCATCAGCATCTACCAGTAACTGATACATATATATATATATATATATATATATATATTAAGAATAAGAGCATATATATGATATATCCATCCGTGGAATGTAAGAATTACAATACTAATATACTTTTGCAAATAAGACTAAGATAAACCTGCCAATCCTGTTGTTTATTTCGCAGCTGAAAACTCTTCCTCCGGAGAATTCCCTCTGCAACAGGACTTTGTCTGAGAGGCTCATCAGCCTCACCAACAAGACTCTCGGATGTTCTTGATGTAGGTAAGGTGTTATTTGGATAACCATCTCTAGTAGCAGACTTTTGTGAAAGGTATGATTTTAGATGATAATCAACCCGGCTGTGTAATTCTGAAGGAAGAACCACCTGCAATATTCATGGATGCTCATAAACGCATGCATTAAGTTTCAACAAAGCAAGCCACATTAGTACTTACCTCTCTTTGCGGGCGTTTATCATCTAAATCTGATCTGTAATTTGGCAACGGAACTTTACTGAAGACAACTACTTTTGAATATTGGTGGCTGCAAAGATTATTAACAAGACAAGTACCAACAGTCAATAGTTTATATAAGTGTTTCAAGTCTTGAGTGATATTTTCTCAAATATTTTTTCAACATCATTTATCCAGAAACTACTTTATCTAGACAGCAGTTAATGGGGAAAAGAAACTGGGCCAGGTGATACCTATGTAAACCCATCCGAGTAGCTAGTGCTGAGAGTTGGTCAAAATCTCTTCTGTCTTTTCTCTCACGTGAAACTACCTCTTGCTCATCTTTATTTCGGATTAGTGTAGTTAGCTTCCACTGCCATTCTTCAATGTTATCAAGAGTGGAAGCCCCCTGATCAACAACACGAAAAGTAGGGCGATATTTAAGACATTTTAGCTGAATAGATAAGGCTTAAAAATATTCATGCCAATTCCCAATTGCTGTTATTTTTTAAATGTTGTCTTTTCAATTTAAGACTACCGGATTATATGAAATTTGTAACGATTTGCGATACTTGTTGCAGAAACCTCACTGTAAGCACTTCTGATAACGGAAAGCAAAGTGCAAGAATCAAAGCAGTCAAACAAAGCATAAATAAAACTAACCAAACTTTGGGGCAATTGCAAATTTTCACGGTCAGACTCCTCCTCGGAAGCATATTCGTCGTAGGCGTAGCGGCCGTAGGGCAAACTTTGCTGGTAAAAGTAAGGTAACGAGTAAGAATCTTTATTTCTCGTTCTCTTAATTAGGTGTTTGGAAGAAGAAACATGAGAAGAAGACGAGGAGCAAATTAACACTAGCGCAGGCCTCGATGATGGAGGAAGAGGTCGGATGAGTCTAGGGCTTAAATGGAGGCGACGGCGGAGCTGAAATGAACTAGTCCTGAGTGGGTTCAGAGATACTCTGAGGTAATTCTGGATGAAAACTGCGGGGTAAGGCATGATGAAAATCTTGGGATTTCTTCAGTTCATCGTTTTCGAGGGAAAACCACAGCTTCGTGGAGGGTTTTAGATGGGGTTATGGCGTTGTCCGTTGAAGGGCCAAGAAGGTCTCGACAGTCTTGCGTGGAGGTGGAACTGGCAGATGAGTATTTATACACTAAGGTTCCCGTAAAAAGTTTATATAACATTTATATTATTAATTAGATTTAAGTTTTTTAAAACTTTTTTATTATTGATTATTTAAAATTAATATATATATATATATATAATATATATATATATATATATATATTTGAATATCCGATATACATTATGTATGTGTAGACATCTAATATAATTATGATTTATAAAACGTAATATAAATTTGAATAGATTGTAAATGATTTATAAAACAGAATATAAATTTGAATAGAGTTTAAAGAGAAACACAATCAATAATATAAATGGCATTGATATATAAAAAACTAAATATAACAGAAATGTAATAAAAATAAATAAATAAAAACAATAGTTTGACTTTAAAAACTACGAATCGTTTATAAATTTCTAAAAACTTCCTTATACACAGCATTGGAAGTTTTGTTTGTAAGTCTATCATTCTTATCTAAAATTAACAAGTTCAATCATTCTCTACTTTGAACTCTAGATAAGGCAACATACAAATGTTCATGTGAAAAATGGGATCTTTGAGATACAGACCAACCTTCGATAACGACTGCCCCTGACTTTTATTAATTGTCATTGCAAAACATATAGTCAATGGAAATTGTCTTCTTTGAAATTTGAAGGAAATTTTTTTTTCAGAAGGACTTAAAGACATTCTTGAAATAAAAATTTGGTTTCCAATATTACTTCCAGATATGATAACTGCCTCAATAACACGTTTACCCAAAGATTTGACTTGTAGTCTAGTATCGTTACATAAGCCATTTTTCTGATCAATGTTTCTTAATAACATAGCTGGAACACCAACTTTTAAAATTAACTTGTGATTTGGCAAACTTGATACTTTAAGACCATTTAAAACATCTGGGGAGTATAAATTGGCATCAAACTGATCATGAACAAACTAGGATTGATAGAGACTATTTGAACTTAAATATTTTACTTTGTCTCCGGGAAACAATGATAACAAACGATCATTTATTTGTTGGACAACTTCATTTTTTTGGAGCAACTAACCTTTTATTTACGGGATTTCATTATCCGTTAGTTTTATTTTCATTAATAGAACTATTACATACTACAATTGGAGGATTCCAGGGATTTCAACTCATAGTTTTATTTTAATTAATAAAACTACTATACATACTGGTGATAGCCAGGGTTTTCATACAGAGGGTTTTTCATTCAAAACGATATTATACAATACATTATGGAACACCGTAACGAACACACATGTTAGAAAATATTGGATTTTCTTGGAAACATACAAACATTTTCACTGATTCATTAACAGGTTTTCATTACAAAAACATGTTTATAAACTCACCAGCTTAATGCTGATACTCTTTTCAAAATCGTTTGTATTCTCAGGAAATCAGTAGACAGCTACTCTCGCAGCTTTTGAGAAGACGGAGCGTGTAGAGTCACGTCTTTTTATATTTTGCTATACTTTTGGTGTATACAAATATGTATCAAACAGATGTAAATATTTTACTTATTCAATGTAATGGTTGTGTTTACTTTGATTACTATGATGCAATTTGTGTGATACTATACATGACGTCCTCCACGCCCGAACGTTTTCGCTGTTTCGGTTTGGGGGTGTGACAGATTGGTATCAGTGCTATTGTTTATAGTGAACTAAGTATACTGAACCTTACATGGTATACAACTATAAACACTAAAAGGGGGCCGAAGCGCTCTGGAACTAAAAGTATATTTTTAAAATATAAGTATTTTAGAAGAAGTATACAAGTATACATACATACAGAAACTGTATCATATTAAGAATTACATAAAAGTATTTAGGGCGAGTTGGGCACTATGGTTAAACCTGAATAGTTATGTAGTCATATGTGGGGCCAATATAACCTGATCAACTATATTTGTCCGAGATATGACCAACATGTGTTTGGGAGTGACTGTGGTGTTGCGACGAGTCTAAAACTCACCAAATCCTATACTAATGAAGTACATAGTTAAAATACTATAGGAGTATTTTATAACTCTATAACACTGCACAGAATTGTTACAAGCAGTACTAACCCTCACAAATGAAAGACCTGCAATTCCTTGTTTATGTTAGTAAACCTTATTTGTAGATCTCTGTTAACGTTGTATGATTAAGATATATCTTGCTCGAAAATATCCGATTCATGATCAATGTAGAAGGCTTATCGTCATTTTCCCCTTGTATCTTTTAGAGAAAGATGCCTCCCAGGAAGAGACCCAACAGAAAGAACAACAACCCTCCGACAGATCCGCCGCCACCACCTCCTCAGTTCGATCCTGCTATGTTCCAAGTAGCAGTTACGGCCGTTGGCTGCCGCAATGTCGCAGATCAATCCTGGCGGCTCTAGCGGATCGGGAAGTGGTACCCATCCCCATAATCTTGATGGTGGTCAGGGACACCAGAAGGAGTGTTCCTACAAAGACTTTATGAATGCAAAACCCAAATCCTTTGATAGCAATGGTGGTGTCATTGCCCTAACTCGTTGGTTCGAGAAGATCGAATCAATTTTCGAGATCTGTGCGTGCCCCGAGGTAAGCAAGGTGAAGTTCGTCGCCTGCACCTTGACCGATAGAGCACTGACTTGGTGGAATAGCCGAGTCAAATCTTTAACTCTGCCGGTAGTCAATGCCATGGGTTGGGAGAGTTTGAAAGAGTTAATGCTTGCGGAGTATTGCCCAAGGGGCGAGATGCAAAAGCTGGAGCACGAGCTCTGGAACCTAAAGATGAAGGGTTCCGAAATTGCTGCGTACACTGCTAGGTTCTGCGACCTGGCTCTTCTATGTCTCGGGATGGTCACCCCGGAAAGCAAGAAAATTGAGAGGTACATTTGGGGATTGACACCCCCAACTCAAGGGAACGTATTGGCTGTAAAACCTCTCACGTTTGACAGCGCCAAGTGTCTAGCGCAGACCCTGATAGATCATGGGGGTAGATCATGGAGCTGTGGCAGCCATTCCCGAACCACCAAAGGAGAGTGGTGAGAAGAAAAAGTTCTGGAATAAGCGCAAGGGCAAGTTTTCGCAGGAGCCCTCCAAGAAACAACAAGTAGTGGCAGTTCATGCTGCTACCACTCCAGCCGCTGTTCCTACAACTCAAGAACCTGCCAGTAGAGGTCACTAGGTCATATCAAGCATGGTTATACGAACTCACAACAGTATAAACTAACCTTTTATTTACGGGATTTCATTATTCGTTAGTTTTATTTTCATTAATAGAACTATTACATACTACAACTGGAGGATTTCGGGGATTTCAACTCATAGTTTTATTTTAATTAATAAAACTACTATACATACTGGTGATAGCCAGGGTTTTCATACAGAGGGTTTTTCATTCAAAACGATATTATACAATACATTATGGAACACCGTAACGAACACACATGTTAGAAAATATTGGATTTTCTTGGAAACATACAAACATTTTCACTGATTCATTAACAGGTTTCCATTACAAAAACATGTTTATTAACTCACCAGCTTAATGCTGATACTCTTTTCAAAATCGTTTGTATTCTCAGGAAATCAGTAGACAGCTACTCTCGCAGCTTTTGAGAAGACGGAGCGTGTAGAGTCACGTCTTTTTATATTTTGCTATACTTTTGGTGTATACAAATATGTATCAAACAGATGTAAATATTTTACTTATTTAATGTAATGGTTGTGTTTACTTTGATTACTATGATGCAATTTGTGTGATACTATACATGACGTCCTCCACCCCCGAACGTTTTCGTTGTTTCGGTTTGGGGGTGTGACACAAGCTCCAACCTCTGAAGGTTCCCATGTGGAAATGGGAGCAGATTTCGATGGACTTCATCACCAAGTTGCCGAAGACGGCAAAGGGTTTTGATGCTATTTGGGTCATCGTAGATCGATTGACCAAGAGTGCACACTTCCTGGCAATTCGGGAGAGTTCTTCGGCCGAGAAGTTGGCCGATGTGTATATTCGCGAGATCGTTGCTCGCCATAGGGTTCCGGTCTCCATTATTTCGGATCGTGATGTTCGATTTACCTCCCATTTTTGGCAAAAGTTCCATGAGGAACTGGGCACGAGGTTGCACTTCAGCATAACTTATCATCCGCAGACCGGAGGCCAGAGTGAGCGGACGATACAAACCCTTGAGGATATGTTGCGGGCATGAGTTATCGATTTTGGTGGGAGTTGGGACACACCCCGATTTTCAGGTATTTTCAAATTCGTCCATTGGTTTTAAATTAGAAGTCAATTTGATACTTAAGTCCAAGAATTATGCCTTGAAGCCCTAGTGGCATTTTGGTAATATGAGCTGGAGGAGTACGCTAAGCGTACATGTGTGTACGCTGAGCGTACTCACGTCAGGATGAAACCCTAAATTTTAGGGGTTGAAGGGTATTTAAGCATCATATTGGCTCATTTCCTTTCCACCTTTCAGCCTCCACTCCCTTGGGACGTTTTTACAAACCCTAGTCTTTGAGTGTGCATTTTGGAGCTCAATTGTATGCTTTTTTGGTGTGTTCTTGGTGTGTTAGAGGAAGAAGAAGATTGTTGGAGAAGCCTAGGTGAAGGATCAACTTGTGGATCTGGGATTCTTACCTTCTTAAGAAGCTCCAGAAGGTATAAAGCTTCAATCTTGCCTTGTTTTTCTTTTAGATCTTGCCTTGAGGAAATTGTGTTCTTAGTCCCTTTTCTTGGTGTTAATGAGTATGTGTTACTCTAAGACCAAAGGATCCATCCTTTCTGAAGAAATGAGGTGCAATAAGTCATAAAAATGCTATCTTGGCTCTTTTGGTGCATGCATGGGGTCTTTAGTGGCTAAGACAAGCTAGAATCTTGATGTTGGGCCTTATTAAGACATGCATGACCATAAAGTTGGAAATTTTATGGTTTGGAACACCTTTTTGGACCTAGATCTGAAAGTTAGACGTTGGACTGAATGAGATAAGTTTTTAATCAAGTTTTTCATGGCCACTACATACGTTGGGTGTA